TAATACACGAGTTTCACAATTTGAGTTGAATTACTGAAATAAATGAACTTTTCCACGACATTCTAATTTATTGAGATGCACCTGTATTGTACATCACTAGATTTTACACACACACACACACACACACACACACATATATATATATATATATATATATCAGTGTGTATGTGTGTATTAATTATACACTTATAAATTATATGTGACCCTGAACTGCAACAAGTCATTTTATGTACAAAAAAGTAATTACATTCTGCCTTTAAAGGGGTCATATGATGCTGCTAAAAAGAACATTATTTTGTGTATTTGGTGTAATGAAATGTGAGAGCTTGTAACACTCTAAAGAGAAAGGAAAAAATGAAATCGCATCATATGACCCCTTTAACTTATTCTATAAATTGAGATTCAATTTGCAGATAAGGACAAGATTTAGATATCATCGTTCCCCCAGTTCATTCTTCCTGTGTGCTCAGGGCCACACCAATATATACTCACATGCATCAACTTGAACAGATCATCTCTTGTGGTTTGATGCAGATCTGCTGACTGTTTGTCTGCTGTCAGAGTATGTTGGGAAATTCATCCATCCAGGAACAATGGTGGATGAGTTCAGGATGATCAAATCCAAACATCTAGTGTTATGAGCGGGACTGTAGGTGACTCAGGGTCGTGTGTATTTTTGTGTGGGAATGTTCGTCTTGCTGCTCTGGACGGAGAGATCATCAGGATGTCATGACATATTTTGTGTTCAGGTCAGCGAGATGCTTCTCTTAAGTACGCTTGTGTGTTCTAGAAAAGATTCAAAAGAGCCGTGACATGGCCTGTAACCAAATTAGTTCCAGCAGGTCCGGTTTCTAATCTAGAGTTCTTGACGTTTATGGTGAAGTTTAAAGTGGCCCCATAAAGTATTCAGACATTTAAGCCACACAAAATGTCTGAATGTCATTCCATTACATACGCAATCTCAAGCCAAGTTGCATTTACAAACAATTGATGGAAAAACCATCAGAGACCAAATTTCAGAGACATTTTGCTCCATCAGTTACAGTATTCAGGGTTTTTCCCACTATTGTTTTAGAATTTAAAAAATGTCTTTCTTTAAAATAAACATTAGTTGGTTTATTCAAATGTTTAAGTGTTCAAATACTTGTGGAAAATCCACCAACATTGTACAAAATTCAGAACTGAAGAATTGGCTCCATTTAAATTCATGAGTGTGAATTTGAATTGAATTAGCCACACCCAACAGGAAGTTGAATTGTAATGAAAGTGGCATTTCAAACATCTATCTGTCTGTCTGTCTGTCATTCTATTGATTGATTGTTCTATTTTTCTTTCTGCTTGTAAGGACTTTTAAACTTCAAACTTTTAAAACAAGACTTTGTCAAGCTAACATTTTTTTTGGTTGTCTTGACAAACTTTGCCTTTCTAGTTAAAAATTGGTAACACTAGTAATGGGACCAATTCTCACTATTAACTAGTTGCTTATTAGCATGCCTATTAATAACATATTGCCTGTTTATTAGTACTTATAAAGCACATATTCTGGATGACTATATTCTACATCCCTAATCCTACCCAATACCTAAACTTAACAACTACCTTACTAACTATTAATAAGCAGCAAATTAGTAGTTTATTGAGGCAAAAGTCGTAGTTAATGGTTTGTTAATGGTGAGAATTGGACCTTAAAATAAAGTGTGACCAAAAAATTAGTTATATCATTTCTATTTTGAACTTTTAAATTCAAATTTGAATTCGAATTGCAATTCTCCATCCTGCCTCAATTGAAATGCAGGAATTTGAGGAATTCTAATTTAATTCAAATCCAGTTATCTAGACCTTATTCTGTAGTAAAATTATAGTTACATTTCCCCTGTTAACTGTTGTTACTTCCTCTTGTTGTTTGGCTCTCACCTCATTTTAACTCTGAGGCTGTAGAGATTCTATACAGAGGTCATTTGTGATCTCATGTGCGCAGCTTTAACAAGATGCAGGAAACGCCCACATATGCTCCCCGTTGTCTGCTATCACACTTTATAAAGCCCTATAGTGGGAAACTTCATCAGCCCACTACAATCTACAAACTACAATCATGACTCACGGATTGATGATGAATCGCTGTCTGTGTGTTTGAAATAAAGCTTCACTGAGTCACTCCATTCACACGCACAGGCAACGGGAGACACGTAGTCCGACAGGGCGTTTTTTCTCAACTACCGTCTGCAAGCGAATGCGCTCTTCGCTGCATTCCAGTGCAGCTTTGCTCGAGAATTACTCCAAAAGCATCGTTAAAAGATGTTTCCTCTTCTCTTATCTTCTGAGTGACTCAGCGTCATTGTTTGAATTCAGCTTATTTCTATGTCCTGTTGTCCTTACGATGGGCATCGTGCCAGGTAAAGTTTGCCATGACTCCCAACGCCACCCCTTTTCAGCCCCCCTGGAAGATGGCATTTTATTTGTGGAATGCTCGGCGAAAGGGTTGTATTTTAGACAAAAGATGTCTACTCGACATCAGCTGAATGCTTCTGGGCTCAAGCAGAATCATGTGACCCACTGGTGAAGGTTTTGTGAGGGTGCCAGAACAGAAAAGGAGAAACTTGGAAAGCGGTGCTAGTGAGAGTTCTTTCTCTTTTTTTCCCCTCTCTTGTCTTTTCCTTGCTGAGAAAATGGCGGACTACACAGATTTTCTTATTTAGCAAAAGTATTTTGGTGGCACTTGTATATGTCAGTCCCCTATGTTCATTTTGAATCTCACAGGTTGTTTTAGTTGGCGTAAAATTGGTGCTCAAACTGTTTCCGAAACTCTAAAACGAGTCATGATTCGGTGAATGAATGGGTGCAAAAACCGCCGCCCACTTTGCAATGGCTCAGTTGTACCGTGAGTTGAACATTTACGTCTGATGAACATCAGCAAGCAGGTGAGACAGTGAGAGGACAGCAGCTGTTTGTGAAATGCTCACTTTTCCCGCCTCGACAGATTGTGTGTTTCTTTTAAAACCACCGTATTCTTGTCTAAGCTCACCCTGTTCTCACAGACAGTCACGCATGGCATTCTCTGGCAGGGATGTGTTCGAACAAGCTGTTTCCGCCAAACTTTTCAGTATTTCCCAGCTAGAGTGTTTGTGTAGCCTTATAATAATTACAATTTGATTCAAGTGAAGCATTTTTTCCCCCCATTTATTTAAGTTCCTTTGTGTTGGACTTTTGTCAGATTGTTCAATCGGTGTATCTATCCTTATTTACTTTCATAACACATAGTCCTGGTCTTATTCTACTTGATTTACACAACTACACATTATTCTAAAGAAAAATGTTTGTCTTTGTAATCATTTATCAAAATGTAATAACTTGGAAACGACTTTCCTTTTCAGATAACATCATCAAGCCCTCTTATTTTTTCAGCTCTTCCCCAACAACCACCTGTCATGTAGAAACACTTTTCTGGATAAAATAAAGTCCCTGCCTATCTTTTTTTCCTCATTAAATATCCTGACTCAAAAGTATGTTATATTATGGAAGCAAAATTAACTGTGAATGGCATTTAATTTAATTTGTTTTCTACACAAAACTGAATTGCATTACTCTATGTATTTGCTATAGACTTTTAACTGTGAACGTATTTCCTGATGTTGTGACTTCTTTCTCTTCACAGCACAGAAATCAGGAGCAGATATGGATACATCTCCACTGAAACTCGACCAGGTCAGTGGAAGATGTTTTTGACTTTCTCCTCCTTTCTATATTTACAGTGACTCCATGACAGTGTTTTGTTCATGTAGGGAGGAATGTTTTTTGTGGTTTATCTGATCTGATAGCAACACCACAAAGACTCGGAGACATGAGTATGACCTGGGATTGGGTTTCATATGAAGCTCTGACCACTTGTCACAAACCCGTAGATCCGATCTTGTGGCGTAATCTGCAACCCAAGCTCGATTCTGTGGGTCTCTGTCACTGTGGTGAACTCAACGCACTCTTTGAACTCGCTACAGCAGTGGTTCTCAAACTTTTTTTTAGGTGGTGGGCCACAGCATAAAAAATGCACAAGCCACCAGCTACCTTAAAACAATTACCAGGTTTAGTAGTGCACAAATTACCTTAGTTTATAAGGGTATTCCTTAATTCCATAATTTTGTCAGACTGCTGTTTTGTTTTTATTTCATTGAAATAAATTAGACTTTGTTTGCTAAAAATTTCTGTACATTTGCGTACTTTACTAAATGAGACAACAGATACATCATTATCCAGGTTGATTAAGCAGTCAATAAATTCTTTGTTGGTGCTTTTTATCTATTAAAATCATGTTTTATCTATTTTATTTGTTTAATGAGCCAATCAAATGATGGATCATTTGGAATCCTTCAAGGTTTGAGAACTGCTGCTGTAAATGGATGATCTGTAGAGAATTTGCAAATGCATCAAATCACTGATGCAAAAAAACAAAAAAGTTTCTTCTCTGAAGGAGCAGAAGTTGTTTTTGCTCCAGGAGGTCCAGAGGAATGGCAGTGTGTACGTGTGCATCCAGGCTGAGGTAGTAGGTTGTATGGTTTCGAATGACACCATGGGAGTTAACTGTACAACCTTCTAGCTTTCCTTGGAGTACACTCATTTCATCAAGCAAGACTTCAAAATGGCATCCACTGGCTCCCTTATTACAGAATATGTTCGCTTTACGGAAAACAAATAACGTTTGCTAACGGTTGCCTGTTACATAGTACTTAAAATTTCACTTACCACATAAACAGAGTAAGAGATGACTGAATGCTTCACAGTATATACTGTATAATGAAAACTTTTTTAAAATAGGAAGTGAAACTGTAAAATTTGTAAAATTATTTCAGATAGTAGCATGATACATTTTTATGAACATCATGTTGCATGTTAATTCAGCAAGTGGCATTCTGTAATACATTCAGTTATTTTTTATTTGATTTATTTATGTATTTTTATTTATTTATTTATTTTAAAGTGAGATGTGTATAACATCATATTTGTTTTATAAATATATGATTTATATAAAATGTATTTATTTATTTATTTTATTTTTTTAAGCTTTCTTCTTTTTTTTTAGACCTTTTGGCAGTCTGATCAAATAATAAGCCTAAATATTGCAGCAAAACTTACCTCTGGTTCATCCATCATACTGGGAATGAAAGGTCAAGTCAAGCACACTGCTTTATGGCATACAGAAGTGCACTCTGTAATATGTTGTATACTGCTCATTTGTGTAAATTCTAGAAGGTCATCTGGCTATTTTATATTGAATAAAGAATATTTACATATTGTACACCATATTTATATATATATACAGTATACTGCAGAAATACTAGGAGCGGTATGTTAGTATGTTGTTACAAATATAGTCATAGTTAAGATTTCAGGCTGAGTGGTTCCAGACCTGCTGTAATCCTAGTTTAACAGTCTTTATACACTGATGTTTAAAAGTTTGGGGTCAGTAAGATCTTTTAATGTTTCTAAAATAAGTTTCTTATATTCATTAAGACTGCATTTATTTGATCAAAAGTACAGTAATACTGCAAAATATTACATTTAAAACAAGTGTTCTCGATTTTAATATGAAATGAATGAATTTTAGAGAATGAAATTTATTTCTGTAATTGCAAAGCTGAATTTTCAGCATCATTACTCCAGTCTTCAGTGTCACATGATCCTTCAGAAATCATTCTAAAATGCTGATTTTCTGCTCAAGAAACATTTCCTATTATTATTAATGTAGAAACAGTTGACCTGCTTAATATTTTTATGGAAACCATGATACATTTTTTTCAGGATGTATAATCTTTGATGAATAAAAAATTCTAAATCACAGCATTATTAAAATGATAAATTATCAATTTCTTTAAAAAACTTACCGATCCCAAATTTTGAATGTGTCTATGCAGCATCTTAGACCAGATGACATTACTGTAAAGTGCATTCGTATTTCATTTGTTAAGCATCTTATTAAGACACTGATTGTCGAAATAGTGTGTCTCAGGTAATTCAGTATTCTTGGAATTTGATTAATCCAGCAGATCAGCATTTGAAAACTCTTTGAATTCCTTGTTTGGGAATGTTACCAAGCTAAAAGTTGTGCTTTTAAATCAATTGAGTATCTGGCAGCAGGCATGTCTTTGGCATTCAAACTCAAGGTTTTCTTCTGCAGTATGCTTCCAAAATGTAGGTTTATAAGCTTTTGTTCTCATTTTTCAGTGGTGTGTTGAAGCTATGCACTTAACAGCCTCATATGTCTGCCCGGCGTCTTGTGTTGGTGGGTCTCCAGCGTGAACGCCTGCAGTCTGTGAGGCCCAGTGTTCATGAAGTATTTTAGTCTGGCCTGAAAGCGTCTGTAAGCACACATAGGCCCCACAGCAACACAGCCAACATGGTGAAAGGGACTTAACTGCTATCAATTAAGCACAGACAAATGAGCAGTGAAATAAACGAGGATTCAATGGGCAAGCGTAAGAGTCTCCGTCATTGATTCCCCTCTCACACGATGACAGGGTTGGAACGGGCTTAGCGCGGCCCCTCTAAAGCTTGAAAAGACACGGCTCCTCTACCCAAGGCTTAAGTCTACTTCAGTCTCTTTTAGTCGGGTGTCAGCTGTGTTTCTCTGTCAGCCAAACCTTCATGCAGCTTACATCTGAATTCTGTTTAGGTTCTTAGGATTTAATTTATAGAAAACAGCAGTCAAAACTCTTAAAGGGATAGTTCACACAGAAATAAAAACTCATTTGCTCACCCTCATGTCATACACTTTTAATATAGCAAAAGTGAATGAGGACAGAGACTGTCAAACTTCCAAAATGGTCCAAAAAATATTAGTCTTCTTACTCTATATGATGCTATATTCGGAGTCTTTAGTGCTTTATGTAATAAACAGACTGAAATGTAAGTTGTTATTTACTTATAATGTTCAGTGTTGTGACTGGATCATTGAGTTATTGAATTTAAGAACTGATTTGTGAATGAATCATTCAAAACAGTTTTGCGAACTAGATCAGCTGATTCATTGAAAATATCTGACTCAGTTGAACAATTCACAGCTTAAACATCACAAGAAGATGTAGGACACATTGAGATTTCACTTTCAGTCTGTTCTTCACACAAAGCTATCTTATGACTATCAACCACTTGACAGCCCCGGTCCTCATTCATTTTCATTATTTTCAAAAGAGTAGCCTGGGATGTTCTTTAAAAATGTATATTTAGTGTTCCACAGACAAAAGAAAGTCAATCAGGGTGGATCTACATGAGAGTGAGTAGATAATTTTCATTTTTGGGTGAACTAGCCACAGTATGTTGAATCGAAGGGAAAGGCCGTCGTTTTGTATTCCATCGTTTCCTGTTTAAACTGACAGAGGGAGTCGAGCTGCTTTTATTTTAGGAGGGATTTTTCCGCCTTCACCTCTGCTCTCGGATGACTCTTCCAGATGTAGCAGAGTAAACCCAGCTTGAAATCATGCTGGTTCAGCAAAACCAAGTTCAGCTGGCAGCCGAGTCGAGCTGCAACTCATTGGTTACAGCTGTGCTTAGATTTATGTGATGGCTGAACAAATAAATTAGTGAATTTGATCGGGAGAAAGCTGAAGCTTTTGTTTCAGTGAGCAGTGGGTCCACAGAAAGGCGAAGAACGGCAGTGTCCTGAAGGGTTTTCTTAGTCAAGTCAACCGATAAAGTATTGTTTTGACATTTTTATTTGAAGTTTCGACAAATATCCATAAACAAAGTATGTTTACATGAACAGTCCTATGCTGATTATGCTCAATAAAAAAAGTTAAAATGTTCTTTTATCAGAACAAAACAAAACAAACCAACGCACCTAAGTTTCTGTTACTCCCATTTTGATCTGTATGTACATGCATTTATCACCATTCTGTCAGTTTATTCAAAGTGCACGTCTGTTTATATTATGGTGTCAAGATTGAGGAGAAACTGATAATTTATTGCAGACGTTCTTGTATAAACACGGTTTTCTTGCTTTGTTGGGTTTCTATAATAATTTTTTCATCACTGTCAGCGTTTTGCTGTGCAAACACACTAATCGTAAAACTTTATGCTCAAATCACTTCTGAAGTGAACAAATGTGTACAAAATTAACTGCTTTGTGTGCAAACAGGTATTGCAATATGTAATTCACAGATTGCCTTAAAACAACATGAAGTGACATTTGCGATCCATTTAACTTCTGTAATATTCAGTGGGGAAAAAACGTAGGGCAGAACTTGATTTTCTTAATCAAAATTTGTTTGTATCACGATTTGTTAGACTGTGATGTTATTAGCTAGTATTAATTTCTCAGTCTTACCTTGGTTAAGTCTGCAGGAAAGAAAAGTCCAAATTTAATGCGTTTTGATAAAACATTTTTATCAAACATACTGCACAATAATGAAGATACATTGGTTCATGTTGTCTTTACATTCACTGTTGTGTGTTTATCTAAGACAGTATATCTTTTGTCATCCAGTTCTGTCTGATTCTTCCAGACGTGTGACCAAACCCTACTCATTGATTCTTATTACAAGGTCTGCGATTGGCCGTCTAGCCTTTTGCCCCTGTACACGAGAGTGGAGCACTGATGAACATGACCTACTGGTCCCAGACCGCTGTCGACCTTAACAGGGCCACAGCTGCATCAGGAGCCACCAGACGTTAGCGTGGTGATGAGGTGCTGAGATTTATGACAGATGAATAAGAGT